GTGTGTGTGTGTGTGTGTGTGTGTGTGTGTGTGTGTGTGTGTGTGTGTGTGTAAGAGAGAGAGAGAGCGCCCATCCACGTGTGACCTGTGGAGGCCATCGGTCAATTTCAGCTGTCTTCCTCTATCATTCTTTACCTTATTTTCCGAGACAGGGCCTCTTACTGAACTTAAGTTTGCCAGTTGGCTAGACTGGCTAGCCAGCAAGCTCCCAGGATTCTCTTAGCTCTGCCTCTTGGCTCCAGGATTACAGGCATATATCACCACAGCTGGTTTCTTACGAGAGTGCTGGGCAACCAAACTCAGGTCCCCATTGTTTGTGTAGCAAGCACTCTACTCACTGAGCCATGTCCTCGGCCCCAACATTCTGACAAGCCCCTGTAGTAGCTAAGGTTTTGCTCTGGTCAGATGGTTAACCCCCTACTCATGTGATGGTCCCTACCCTCCCTCCAGCAGAAGTGTCCCCCTAGAATGGGTATGAACTGGATGGGCATGTTGGTATAGATACTGCTACTGCTGCCTGGATGAGCATGTTGGTATAGCTGCCATTGCAGATGGTTTGGGACCCTCCATCAGACTAAAATTAAATTCCCCAGGGGCGGTATGGGAAGTCCCTCTGAAACCGACATTTGGGATGAACCTTGGAGGACCACAGGCTGGCAAGCCAGGCCTCTTTCTCCTCCCTTCTGCTCCCTACCTTTCTCACTGACTCTGTATGCAGCCGCTTCTCCAAGCTGAAGGCCTTGAGCTTCATTCTTTGAGCATGGTACAAACTCAAGAGATCCTCATGGATGTGAGGCCAGAGAGAAGGGAGGAAGAAATACAAGCTCCTAGGTGAAAAGCGAGCCACCTAAGGGCGAAGCTAGTGGGGCCTGGTCCTGCCCTCCAGGGCCCCTCCCCTGTTCTAGTCTTCTGCAACCACACCCCTGCAGTAAGGAAATGCAGGTCACTTAGAGCGCGCAGTACTGTTCATTCCTAAATAAGGCATCGCTGCCCTTCTCCCTCCCCATCCCACTCCCTGGCCCCCAGGGGCCAGGCAAATGCCTGTGAGGGAAGCCCCATCCTTTCTTGTGGTTTTAGAGCCTGTTTTAGGCTTACGGAGACAGGGAGGGGTGACGATGAGCGACGCTCTGTGGGTTAGAAGGAAGGGAGGTCACGTCCTGTACTACTCCCAGACATCACCTAGACTCAGTGAGACTGAGTGAGAACCAAAGGCCAGCACACCTGAGTCTGGGGGTTGTCAGTGGAGAGCAGGACGGGGTATGGAGTAGAGCCCTTGGAAGGAAGAACAGGGCACACAGGGAAGGGGTTTGAAGGCCCAGTCGGCAGGAAGCTTGGCAAAGAAGTAATACAAGGAACTCTAGGGAGGCCAGGAGTTAGGATGAAAGCCCTGGCTCCGGGCAGGCTCCAGAGCAGCTACGGCTAAACCGTCCAAGTGCCCGCTAGCACTGTGCTAATTACCTTTCTCTCTTTTCTTTTTCCTCCCTGTTTGTTCCCAACATCTTCCCACCTTCCGCCTTTTCTCTCCCACCCTCTCCCGTCTTCCCTCCTTTTCTTTCTCCTCCCCTCCGTCCTCACCCGCCCTCCTTCCCCCTTGCCCGTCTTCTCACACCTACCCATACCTACACCCTCACACTTTTCCCCTCTACCACCACCACCACCAAAGCTCTCAGGTGGCTGCGAGCTGACGGTGGTCCTGCAGGACTTCAGCGCGGGCCACAGCAGTGAGCTCAGCATCCAGGTGGGACAGACGGTGGAGCTGCTGGAGCGACCCAGTGAGAGGCCCGGCTGGTGTCTGGTCCGCACCACGGAGCGGAGCCCCCCGCAGGAAGGCCTGGTCCCCAGCAGTGCCCTGTGCATCTCACACTCACGCAGCAGCGTGGAGATGGACTGCTTCTTCCCTTTGGTGAAAGGTAGGGAGACTTGAGGGGAGGGAGGGAGGGAGGACGGCAATCGCGGGCTGAGCACTGTGGAACTGGCCAGCGCGTCCGCTTTGATTGAGCCTGGTGTCTCTGAGATCTGGAAGTGGAGAGAGAGTGTGTGCGGGGAGCCTGAGGAGAAAGCTGCTTGTATCTGTGAGGCTTAGAGAAAGTCACCCAACCTTTCTGAGTCCATCACATCTTAAAAACATTGGCTGAGCTGCTGACCGCCAAGCTATCTCCCAGGTTTTCTTACGTACCGTACTACACCTAGGTAGGTACTACATCCTGCTGGGAGGACTGAGCAACCCCAGCAACCAGCCAGGTATCTCCTCTGTCCTCTCGGGGTTCAAGGTCATCCTGTCACTTTTTTCCTTTACGGATTATAGAATGAATATGTAATATATATTTATATATAGTAAATCCCATATATATAAAGGGAAGTTACTAGAACGACTTACAAGGCTGTGGTCCAGCTATCCAGCAATGGCTTGGCTATGAGCAGAAAGTCTAAGAAGTCAGTAGTCATTCAGTCCACGAGGCTGAATGTCTCAGCTGCTCTTCAGTATACGCTGGAGTTCTGAAGAAGTTGGCTCAAATACCAGCGAAGGGGTGGACTTGCCAGCAAGGCTAGAGCAAGCAGCCAAAGAGTGAAGCTTCCTCCTTCCATGTCCTTTTATAGGCTGCCAGCAGGAGATGTGGCCCTGATTAGAGGTGGGTTTTCCCATTTCAAAAAATAAAATAAAAAAATCTGGATTAAAGGTATGTCTTCCTACCTTAAAGATCCAGAGTGGAAGTGCATCTTCCTACTTCAAGTTAAGCAAATAAGCCCGCACAGCTGTGCCCTCCCTCCATTTGTGGCTTTTAGTTAATTCCAGGATGTAGTCAGGTTGACAACCAAGAATAGCCAGCACATGGACGCCGTTATCCAGGGCTTGGTCTGTTCTCTGTGTTCTCTCTGTGTGTCTTTTATTTCCTCATGCCAGGGAGTCTGGAATGGCAGCTCCCGTGGGCCCCGGAAACACGTTAGCAGTGCCGATACTCAGGCCCCAGCCACCAGCTCAGTAGCTTGCTCTCCAGGTGGTTGTTTCACAGTGGAGTCTGAGAACACGGGCTTCCAAAGTCACTGGGGCCTTGAACTCATGCGTTCTACATTGAGGAAACTGAGGCCCAGAGACTGACAGGGAGCCAGATCTTAGTCTGGAGCTGAGATGTGTGAATGGTCGGATATTGGCGCAGGGAGGCCATCCATGCGTGAGACCCAGCGCAGGCTGCTGGATAGTAACTTGAAATGCTTGGAAACATGCGAGTCTGGAACCGTGACTTTCCGCCTCAGACCACTAGATGGCGATGGTGGCCTGCCACATCTGTGCTTTCCAGCATCAAAGCAAATTAAAACCTTGATTCCTTCTACCTGCACAACTGCACACCTCACCCTTAGTTTAGCCTCCCCCTGCTTCCTCCCCTCTTTACTCTGAGAACCTTGGAGAGGCTGCCAGAAAACTGCGTGGGATTTGTGTTTGCAGCTTCCGGGTCCTTTGAAGAAACCAACACCCTCATCCCTCTTAGTGAATTTGCCTCCTTTCCTGAGCTGGAGCAAGAGAAGGCTGTTCCCATACACGCATGATGTTGACCCATGGGTTGTCAAGAAATATGCAAACTCTGTAACAGAACTGGGCAGCCCAGCCTTTCACATTCCTTTCCTCTCCCTGGTCTCTTGGTTTTCTCTGTCAGGTTGGCCCTTCTGAGATCTGATCTTGTCTTCATAGCTCCCCCCCCACCCCAGTCTCTCAGCAGCAGGTGGCAGTGGGCGACACGCCACAAAAGACAAAGACTATAGTGATTTCCAACTCCTGAAATCTGAAGGTGTTTTGTTTTTAAATAACACCCCTCACCCTAGAACAATATTTGAAGTTCCTCGGTGGTTCTGATGCTCTGCCGGCTGTGGGCTCAGCACCCCCAGATGTGAGGCTTGGGACACAGAAACATGTGTTGGAATGAAGTTGCGCGTTCCTTCGGAGACTGTCAAGATGTAGAACTCAGCAAGGAAGGGCAAAGCAAAGGAAGGAGTACTGTATGGTAAAGGGCGTGGACGGGCACCGCGCCAGAGAAGATCCACAGGTGCCAGCGAGCACCGAAGGGATCCAGTATCTCTGCTCACCAGGGAAATGCAAACCAGTGCTTCAGCGAGACACCACTTTAGACCTATTCGAATAGCCCTTAGTTAATGTGGATACACCTCAGAAAAAAGCAAGTGTCTGTAAGGATGGAGAGAAGTTGGAACACTGCTGGGTGGCTGGCTGGGATGGAAAATGTCACCATAGCTGTGGAATAAAACTGTAGGGAGTCTTATATACACCTATGTAAATACATGGGGTTGGGGATTTAGCTCAGTGGTAGGGCGCTTGGGTCCTGAGTTCAGTCCTCAGCTCTGGAAAAAAAAAAAAAAAAAAAAAAAAAAAAACAAGGTAACTGGCATGTATGTAAATACATATACATATATACATATATATGAGACATATATGTTTTTCATATGATCCAGTAGTCCCACTTTGGGGAGTATTCCAAAGGGAATTGAAAGCAGGGACACAAACATTTCTACCACAGCCACGTTCATAACATTGTTCATATTAGCTTCAGGTGTCCATGGACAAATGAACGCACAAAGTCTGGCATACACTGTCTGAAATATTATATGGCCTTAAAAAGGAAGGGAAATCTCACACCATGTGACATCATGGACAGACCTTGGGGACAGTATGCTAAGTGAAAAAACCCAGTCACACAGACAAATACTCTACTATTTCACTTCTCTGGCATACTTTGAATAGCCAACTTTACCCAGGCAGACGGCAAAATGGTGATTTCCAGGAACCAGAGAAGGGAGGTGATAGGCAATTAACTGTTCAGTTTCACAAGTCAGGAAACTTCTGAAGCCATTTTAGCTGTACAGCATGCTGAACGCAAAGTTAAATCCTTCTAAAGTTAAATCCCTCAAAGTTAAATCCTTTTTTTAACGTGACTATGCGGATGCCACAGGGGTGTATACCTAAAAATAATGAAGACTGTTTGAAGTTAGCCCTGGACTCTTGTGCCCAGGCTCCCAAACCCCACCTAGGCCAATCTCTACCCTGACAGCTGGGATATGGCTTGTTTGTCTGATTGTTTTGTTTTGTTTCTGTCCCTGGGTGCCTTCTTCTAGCCGAGTCTGGCATTCTGGAGAAGTGTAATAAAATGCCTCCCTGGGTGAAACCAGTCTCCCGGCCCAGAGAGTCTGGAGCAAAGAGCAGTGGCCCCTGGTGTCTCCGGCTGGACATAGGAAGTTCAGGCTCTTGGACTTAGCTGATGATTTCATGGTCATAACCTAGCTGACCCCAGGGGTGCTTGCTCAGGCTGTGTGTAAATACCACTAATGACCTGAGGACAGTGAACAAGCTGTGATAGTTAGCATGAGTGTGTGAGCCTTCTACTGCTTACAAAAACAAAACAAACAAACAAACAAAAAGCTTTATTTTATTGAGGTGCTCTGGGCCAGTTTTAGGGCCAATGCTTTAATGACAATAAATTGTATTTTGCTAATTTTATAGACAAGGAAACAGTATTGGAGAGATTAGGTTGCAGAGCTTTCAGATGATGCTTTCAGATGGCTATCTGTTCCCAGGGACTGGCTTTCTGTTCTGGTCAGCATCTTCCCAAGGCTGAAGACATCAGAATACGTAGTTTATCTTTTTCATCTGAGGCTCCCTGGGTTGACCAGTAGTCTGCTTGGATGAGGATTTAGAGAACACTGACGCACTACAAAGGCCACACCAGCCAGACCTGTAATCTGGATACTCAGGAGGCAAAGACAGGAAAATCACCACAAATGTGAGGCTAGCCTGGGCTAGAGAGTGAGGCTCTGCCTCAAAACAAAACAAAAAACACTGCAGCAGACATTTCCAACTCTCCCTCTCACCTCTGGCACCAAATTCTTCCCTCTCTGGGAAGAAAAGAAACAACCAGAGACAGATTTTGTCTTGTGTGTGTGCCTGACAAAAGCAACTTTCCAGTCTGTCATTCGGGGAAGTCAGGGCAGCAGGGACTACACGCCACTGTTTACACTGCACCCACAGTCCGGAAGGAAAGAAGGGCGCATGCTGGGGCTCAGCCTGCTCTCTCCTTTTCGTTTAGTCCAGGACCCCAACACATGGCATAGTGTTGTCCACAGTTGGGGTCAGCCTAATGTAGAGACGACCCCTCGCAGACGGGACCAGGGACTTCTTTTCTTGGTGGCTCCAGAGCCTGTCCAGTTGACATCAGTATCGACTACCGCGCGGTACTTGGCCTACTATGAACTTCGGGGGCAGAACTTGTCTACCTCTGCCCAGCCTTGAAGTCGTTCCAGGCCAACAGACAGCACATTCCACTATTGAAAGCTCAGATGCCGAATCCCCAAAAGTTCAGGGTCCCTTTCCTGGTCCTGTTGCTATCCAGTCCAGAGAATGAATGCCCCTCTGCTGACCAGGAGAGTCTTCCAAAGGTCGGATCACACACACACACACACACACACACACACACGCAAACTTTTTTGGTATAAATCTGCATTTAAAGCAATAACCCCGGACTTCAGATTACTCTGCCAGGCCCCAAACCATAAGAAACTTAAAAGGCGTGGAGGATGAATAGCCTCAAAATATAAATTTAAGAGTCCGATGCCTCAAAGAATCTTGGGAGTGTGATGAATGAGGAAGATGGTGGGTCCCCATACCACCCATACAATTTCACTCCATAATAATGTTGCCATTTTAGTACACCTGCAGTGAAAAACACTAAAGTGTTTCGGCTTTGATGGTGGTCTGTTGGGTAAGATGGCTCACACTGTGATAGCAGTCCTTGGGAAATGGAACCAGCAAGCTCAGAAGCCCTGGGCAGTCTTGGCTACACAGCAGGTTCAAGCCAGCTGGACTACATGAGATATTTTCCCAAATGAATCACAGTAGTCTTGGTGCCTATAA